TTTTTTTTTTTTTTTTTTTTTTTGGCACAGACTCATGTGGCCCAGTCTGGCCATGAATTCATGGCAATCTTCCTGCCTCAGCCCCCTGAGTGAGTATAAGTGTACAACCATGCCTGGCCAATTCGTAGGCATTCTTGTATTCTAGATATATTTTCAAATACCTTCCCCATCCTATGGTTTGTCTTTGCCTCATTTTAAGTTTTCTTTCAAAGTTCAATCTAATTTCTTGGTTCCTTGTATTCCAGTTTATCCATCACTTCTTGTTTGCTAGTTCTTCATATATTTTAAGAAACCCAAGGCCATGAAGATATTTCTTATATTATGTTCTAATTGCTTTACATTTTTTTCACATTTAGGTTATAAGCTGTTTCGCTGTGTGTATCCCATGATAAAAGTTTTCACTTCCGCTGTTTCTGTATGAGTACACAGAATGAATACTTTCAGAATATATACAGAATGAATATTCAGTCTAATTAATGGAAAAAGTCTCTCTTCTCCTTATCGTTCTGTAGGGCCATCTGTTTCCCATTTTAAGTGCTGATCTATGCGCAGGTTGATTTTCACTTCTTTCTCAGGTTTAATTTCTGCCCCCAAAGCCATAGCATACTATGTTGATTATTATGCCTTTATAAAATATTTTATTACCTGATAGAGCTACATTCTCTTTTTTTTTTTTGTACTGGGAATCGAACTCGGGACTTTCAAGGCTGGCATGGTGCCACTGAGCTAAATCTCTGGCGTTCCATCCTCCTTGTGTTCTTCTTTGTAGAAGTGTTTAAGCTAATCTGTCATCACAAATGAGTTGAACATATTCTTTATATATTTTGAAGAATGCAAAATAAAAAGATGTGTGCATGAATATTCATAGCAGCCCCGTCTCCTCAGCATGAAAGCTTGTTGTGGAGAGGTGAGTGAGAAGTCTCCTCTTGCACGAATTAGCAAATTTTGAGCAAAATCTGCTAAGTGGAGTTAATACCTATCATTTCAAATTTGAGAAAATATTCACCTCCCCCTTCCAAATAAAGCAAAACAGTAAACAGAAAACTGACTGCACAGAGAGTGGGGTTCTGGGGCAAGGGTGGTTCAGATCACTGGGCTCCTCCAGTCCAAGCCTCTTGCTTAACCAGGTTTGGGTAAATGGGATCAGTTCCTTGATCTGTCTGAAGGGGGTGTTTCAGCTGTCACTGACAGCCAGTTCCTTGTTTTCTGCTCTTCTGCTTCCAAAGATATTTATAATTTGTTTGTGATTTATTGGGATTTGCCTGGCTGTTGGATTAAGTTAAAAAGTTCAAAGCTCAGTTTAACTCTTCAGGGCCTGCTCAGGGAAACTTCTTAGACCATGTTTCTGTGAGGTTGCACCACCTCTGAGGGCTATGGAACAGCGTGTGAAACCCCACATGAAATGTATCCCAGCACTGCCTTCATTAAGGTCCTTAGAGAACACAACAGGTGGTGCAGATGTCCCCACAGAGGCCACAGATTCTTCCCAACATTCACTGCTCTCTGTAACTTCAGGGGCAAACATTGGTTAAAGCTGTAGTTTTAGGAAATTCATTAGCCTCAAAAATTAATGGTACTAAGTGAGAATTTTTAGCTGACCTGAAATATTTTTCTGTGATTTAATTATTATCTACCTGTGTGTTCCAGAGACTTACTTTGATCAATAATCTTTCTAAATACACGTAAAACATCAACTTTTGAAATATATGTTTGTTTCTCACATCTATCCCTTCATTGATCAGTGTCTTAGAGATTAGGAGGAGATTTATGCCTTCACTCTAAAAAAAACAAAACAAAAAAACCCCATCATTTCTACTTGCTTCCTTAAAACATTCTTTTACTTTCTCACGTTTGTTTCTTTTTCTTGCTTTTGTTCCCAGGCCCCTTCTTTCTGACTGTGGCTTCCTGCCCATCTCTGCCAGCAGTCTCTGTTACTTTCCTCCTAGGGACCTGGGGATTGGTACCAGCAGGGAGGCTGGACTGGGGTCAGGCTCCTGGCCAGCCTAGAAGTAGGAGTGAGGAAGGATGAGAAGGAGCACACTGCTTGGCAGTTTTATTGTTTTTGAGTTGTGCCGAAGGGAGGCATCAAGGAAACAGAATGCGTTGTGATCAATTTAATATAGCTCTGGAGAGGGCATCCTGATCTTTCTTCTTCATGTGGGAGAGGAGGCACACACTCCAATTCCTAGCCAGGAGTGTGGTCCCAGGGCAGAAACGCAGACGCATTTGAGAGAGGCGGTTCCTTACTGTAGTCTGCTTTTCTTCTAAGGCATTACTGCTCTGGAGTATTCTGCTACCATTCACGATGAGGTAGCAGATCAAGGCTGATGTTGATTATATTAGTTTCTCTTTGGTGCTGTAATTAACAGGTTACCACAAATTTAGTGACCACACAAACTTATGGTTCTGATGGTCAGAAGTCCTAAAGTCAAGATTTTGGCAGCTTCTTTAGTCATTTTCTAGATACTTGCAATTTAAAGGAGGAGAGGTTTATTTCGCTCCCAGATTGTGGAGGTTTCAGTCCATGGTCAGCTGGCTGCAAGGCTGGGTAGCATGGCAGAGGGGCCTGGTGGAAGACAGCTGCTCACGGCATGGTGGACAGGAAGTAGAGGGTCAAAGGAGGAGCTGAGAAGGAAAATAGACCCTTCCAGGCCACGCCCATGTAACCTGCCCCTTTCACTCAGACCCCACTCTTACAGCAAGTCAGTTAGGCTGCCCTGCCCATCCAGTCACCTTCCGAAGGGCCCGCCTCTGAGTGTGAGAGCCTTCGGAGCATCTAGATGCAACCTGCAACTCTCTCCTTCTCGACGTTCCAGGGGAGATCTTGTGCCTTGCTTTCTCCAGCTTCTAGAGGCTGCCTATATTTCTTGGCTCTTGACCCTTGCATCTTCAAAGCCAGCCTTCTTATCTGACCTTTGCTGTTGTGTTCACGTCTCCCCTCCCTCTTATTTAAGGACCCCTGAGTTAATGCTGGACCCAGACCTGTAAGTGAAGAAACCCTCCCTGCCTCAAGACCCTTAACTTGGAAATCTGTTTTGCTCTGAGGGAACATATTCACAGGCTCAGAGACTGGGGCATGGACACGGGAGGTGGAGAGGGGTCGCTATTACCCCCATACCTGCTCTTCAGCCAGCTGTTCACATTTTGCAACGATTGCTATCAGTTGTAGGCAAATTGGAGTCAGCTGGACTGTAGCATTTTTCAGTGCTATTTTTACCTTTTTTGAATCCTTCTCCACATAGAAACCGAAATAACAACTGTTCTCTGATGAATCTGCAGACCAACATGGGTTCAAACCCCCAGAGCTTTGTTAATCCTTGCAGTCTTTGTGCTTGATGCAGAGAATCTACTGGGTTTTGAAATCTTAGTGCTAACGGCTGGTACATTTCTGAGGTATTGTGCCCACTGAAGACATAAAGCGAATCTAATCCTCTTTATCCTTCGGGATAAAGGGCCCAAAGCCACAGAATTCCAGCTCTGTCTCTCTACTAAGATCTGATGGTTCTGAGAGCACACTGGGTTTGTAATGCACTTTCTCGTGACCAGTTTCCACTGAGCATGCTGTGACAGCATCGCATCATGAAACCTAAATATGTAACCCTCTGTTGGCGTTGTCAGGGTGGAAAATGGCTTTTCTACTAAGACTGTAAGAGTGGTGCTTTGTCCAGAATAAAACCTCTTTATTGTCTTTGTCTCCGTGCCTTTCAGAACCTGTCCAGGAGAGCGAGAATATGCAGGCGGCACCACCAAGTGGCAGAGGTAGGCGGCTTGCAGGACACAGGGCTTTCATCCAGAGAACAGCAAGAACTACTGAAGGAACTTAGCGAAGGAGAGGTGGGCAGGGAGACTGAGGGACTTATCCCCGGGGGCTTTTGGCTTTGAGACGCAGGGTGGGTGGCAGCTGTGTGCTGAGATGGGAGCAGAGTTTGGAGGAGAGACAGACGGAGCTGCAGTTTCGGGTGGGACATGGAGGGGAGGGGCTGAAGCTCAGGAGGTTTGGATTCTACTGCTTAGTGTAGATGACAACTGGTGAGGCTGTGCAAAAGACAGGGACCACGGAGCTCAGACCTTCCCAGGGCAGGCTGAGAAAAGCCTGGGAAAAAAATGGTTAGCGCGATAGCTGGAAAATCAGAAATAGACGACATATTAAAACACTTGTAGGGCAGGGGATTTAGCTCAGCAGTTCAGTGGCCTGCCTTGCAAGTGCAAGGACCTGAGTTCAATCCCCGGTACCAAAAAAAGAAAAAAAGAAAAAAGAAAAAAACAAAAAACAACAAACAACAAAAACAACAACAACAAAAAACCACTTGTAGCAGGCTGGGGCTGCAACTCAGTGGTAAAGCATGGAGCCCCGAATTAAACACACACACACACACACACACACACACACACACACACACAGGGCCAGGGATTTAGCTCAGTGGTTCCACCGCCTGTCTCACAAGGACAAGGACCGGAGTTCGATCCCCGGTACCAAAAAACAAAACAAAAAAACCCACACATACACACACTCACGTGCATGCAAAGAAATCTGTGCTCATTGCTTGGGCCCGGTTATTGGAAATATGTTTATGATAAGGTGACTTGTTTATATATAAAACAAGCAGTGATTCCTCATTTGGATTACAGGGTTTTGAGGTTCAAACTAAAAAAAATTGAAAATATTTCTCAACCTTTCAGTGTGCATGAAGTCGTTCGGAGGGCTTCTTAAACCTGACTGCTGTGCCTCTGGCTTTATTAGCTTCTGACTAAGAAGACCTGGGGTGGGCCCTGAATCTAAACGTACTCAAATGATTCTGATGTTGTGGGTCCTCTGTAAACCGCGATGTAATACCAATGAGGAAGTTGGGCTTCGAAATCGGCAAAATTCAGTTTGTTACGTTTCAGCCCTTAAGGATGCCGAGATATCTTTCCTCTCCTCCTCCTTAGCAGCATCGTATCAGTTAACACAGGAGAGAAGGGTCGGCTCGGACAGGGTTTTGTAGATTGCTCAGGAGGCGGCGAAGGCTTGAGGTTAGCTTCATGAAGGAGGATAGGGAGAACGTGTGCTGTCTTCGCGAAAGCTAGGTGGGGAGCCAGGTGGTAGGTGGTGTTTCCCCCAAAGTCAAGAGATGCGAAATGCTACTTACTGCCATCTTGCACAAATTCTATGAGAGACCCCGAAATCTGACCCAGCGAGAATCCTATCAGCACTCGGGCCAGAGGAAAGACCGACTTCATTCCTCAGCCCTTTTCTAAGCCCGGAGAAAAGCGTGTGCCTCGACAGTCCCTTTTCAAGCCTACAAAACGGGGAATTGAGAAAACGCATTAGCACCCTCGCACGGACTAGGCGCAGGGCCCGGGGCTCAGCAAGGTCAGGACCGAAGCAGACGGGAGGGGGCTGAGAACTCGGATCCCGGGCTGCGCCTGGAGGGTAAGGCGAGCCTGCGGTGGGCTGCGCCCGCTTCCCGCCAGGACGTGGGGGTCTGCAGCCTGCCCGCCCCTTCC